TAACATCAAACTGTCTCCCTCATTGCAGTTGTAGTTATTTACTATAACTTACTATAAGACCCATGGTGGTGCAGTGGTTAGAATGCAGTGTTGCAAGCTAACTCTGCAGACCGCTGAGTGCCAACAGTTCGATTCTCACTGGCTCAAGGTTGACTCAGCTTTCTATCCTTCTGAGGTCAGTAAAATGAGGACCCCCAGATTTTGGGGGGCAATATGCTGATTCTGTAAACTGCTTTGAAAGGGCACTGTGAAGTGGCAGTCTAAGTGCTAGTGCTAGTGCTACTATATTATTGTTACTTGAAGCTATATCTCTTGTTCTGTGTATCTGCTTTTATCTAGTTTATTGAATGCATTAAAATGTTGAAATGTATTTGAATTTTAGTAGCTCGGGTTGATAGTTAGGCTGTTGTCCTGAGCGCCGAGCTTGGCAATTTGGTTGCAAATATTTCATCACCATTCGAGGAGACATTGTCAGCACACTTTGAATTGTGCTCATCTGTCAGAACACTGGCCTTGAAATATCTTTTTATGTGATACAAATTAGTGTGGATGTTGTTTGTTTGGCTACCTCTGAATCATGTTCTGATTTCAGACTGTTTGATTGGCTGGTTGTTGTTACTGAGGCATGGTCTTTGGTTTGAAGTACCATCTGTGTGATGTAAATAAGTGTTGTTTGTTCAGGTACTTCTGAGTCATGGTCTGGTTTTGGATTGTTTGATTGGCTGGTTGTTGTTACTGAGACGTGGTCCAATTCCTTGTGAGCTGATGGGACAACATCTCTTATCTGTAAGCTCATGCAAAAAGCTTAATTCAGAAATTTGGTGACTATTTTTGATTTGCAGTTACAGTAGGAACTGTTACAGGTAGTACTCAACTTACAATCATTGGTTTACTGACCGTTCGAAGTTACAATGGCACTGAAAAAAGTGATTTTATGACCATTTTTCACTTTCATTTTTCACTCTTATCACTGTTGCAACACCCCCATGGTCATGTGATCAAAACTCTTGGCAACTGGCTCATATTTATGCCAGTTGTTGGATCCCAGGTCATGTGATCATTTTTTGTTACCTACTGACAAGCAAAGTCAATGGGAAAGCCAGTTTCACTGAACAACTGTTTCACTAACTTAACAACTGTAGTGATAACACTTAACAAGTGTGGCAAGAAAAGTCATAAAGTTGGGCAAAACTCACTGAAGAACTGTTTTGCTTAGCAACAGAAATCCGGGTCTCCATTTGTAGTCACAGGTCGAGGACTACCTGTATGTAATTTTGCATAACAACAGATACTTTGTGTAATTGTAAGTTTTTCTTTATTTTTCCTTCTTATGTAGACTGGGAAAAATACAGGGGAAAAAAGTGTGTTGAACCATGGAATCCTACAGCCTCTTTTCCCATCATCCTTGCCATGCTTCTATTTAGCTTGTTATCCAATATATGGGTTTGGTTTTTAATGGGTTTTTTAAAAAATAGGATTAATCTACTAAATTCTCTCTCTGTAACAATCAGAAAGGAAGCAAGGAAAATGCAGGGTGCACAGATTATCACTCAGAGGCACCAAACCTCAAATATTTAACAACGGAATTAAATCAGATGCAGCTAGAGTCAGGATTGATGGAAGTGTCTTACGTAATATTGAAACAAGATACAAACACTACAAAGAATAAATAAGCATTTGAATGCCAACGATTGGATTCCAGGAAAGCTTTTATCTTGGTTGAAATAAAGGGATCACACAAGTACAGTAAAAAATAATTCATTCAACATTGCTCTTTTTATGGAAATCAACATCATAGAATGACTACAATTCACGTATTGTAATTTCTGATACTTTATTCCATCCTTTCCCAAAATATCTGCACTTGGTAATTCCAGGTAAGATCAATCATACACAATCACCACTTTCTCCCCCTCCCAAATCCATAATTTGTTCAAAAGGAGCTGGTTTGTTATGGTGGGTTAAGGTGCTGGCATTGATGATTGATTAAGCAGCTGGAGAAAAAAAATATATGGATTTTTTGTTTTTATATGTGATGACTGCAGAGAGAGTCTTATACGTGTGGATTTAAAAATTCAACTTTACTCACAATGGAGGAATGGATAGTGAAGGCGTTGGAACTTGCTGACTTGGTCAAATTGAAAGATTTAACTAGAGTTAGCACATTGTCTAAATTTAATTATTTAAATTGTGGTGGAGCAGTGGTTAGAATGCAGTACTGCAGTCTACTTCTGCTGACTGCAGTTCGATTCCCACCAGCTCAAGGTTGACTCAGCCTTTCATCCTTCAAAGGTCGGTAAAGTGAGGAGGACCCAGGGAGAGGACGGGGCTGCTGCTGTTGCCGGAGCGTGTTTGCAGCAGTTCCTCTTGGTTTTATTTTATTTTATCAATTTTTAGTATACCCATTGGAGGAGGAGCCAGATTGTTGGGGGCAATATGCAGACTCTGTAAACCAGTTAAAGAGGGCTGAAAAGCACTGTGAAGCGGTATATAAGTCTAATTGCTATTGCTATTGCTATTGCTATTGCTATTGCTTAGGAGCCTGAGTGGCGTAGGAGGCTAATGCCTCCTACTAAGGCAGCATTTAACATCCAGCTGCCTGCAATTACTGCGAGTTCAATTCTCACCAGGCTCAAGGTCGACTCAGCCTTCCATCCTTTCTAAGGTGGGTAAAATGAGGACCCAGTTTGTGGGGGCAATAAGCTAACTTTGTATAAAATATACAAAAGTATGAAGGCTATTGCTTAATGCATTGTAAGCAGCCCTGAGTCTCTGGAGAACGGCGGCATATAAAAATAAATTAAAAATAATAAAAATAAAAATAAAAATAAAAATATTGCTATTGCTATTGCTATTGCAGGCTAACTCTGTTCAGTGTCAGGAGTTTGATCCTGACCAACTCAAGGTTGCCTCATCTAATTGCTAATGATGAATGAAAACCCTTTATTGACTTTTGGGGGAGAAAGAAAAAATGAACTCATGATATACTGTATGGGTTTGATGATTAGAATAAAAATAATAAATTATAGAGAAAATGTAAAGAATGCCATAATCATAGAGTAGATGCCATTTTATATTTGTACTCATAACCAGTAAAAGAAAACCGAAAGTCGCTGTTCCGTAATTCCTTTTTTCCTTTTCTTTGACTTCTGCATTTTTGTCTTTGTTCATTTTTCTTTCTTCTATTTTTCCTCTTTTTCATTCCAAGTACTCTTAGTTTTTCATTTTCTAAGTATTCTTGTTAGTTTTTATTCTGTATTTTAAACTTCAATAAACAAAAATAGGAAGCTGAATAAGGAACTCACATGAGATTTTCAAGAATTGTTTTGCGATTGTTTCTAAACAAGAAAATTCCTTATTAATGCTTAGCTCAGCACCATACAGCAGGAAACCTAGACTTTTGGCTTTAAATTAGTCGAATTGCTGCTGAAGCATAATTGTTACCAATCTCATCTGCAAATTTAATAATTGAAAGGGAAGCCATTTGGATTTTTGCTAAAAGCAATCTTGTTGCATAGACCAGCAGGTAGAAGATTGAAAATAGACTCCCAAGATAATTTTCCAGTTGAGAAACTAGACTTTGAACTTTTAAGGCTGAAACAGGAGACTGTTCAGGGAGAAGTTCATCAAATAGATAGGTAGGAAATTCACTAGCTTCAGATGCAGTGTATAAATTACAGAAATATCCACTTAAAGATTTCAGGCAAATTAGACTAATTGTTGCCATCATTTATTTTGCGTGAAAATCAAAAGACAAGTTGCCAGAATAGGCAATTGTTTTTATTTATATATTTATTTATTTTAAAAAGTCCAATCTGGTTCAATAATTCTCAAGAGCGTAACCATGCTTTGTTTCCCTTGAAGTTTCTTAGAGTCCTTTTTTAGGAAGCAAAAGATTTAATATGAGGGAGAGTCATTATAACAGAATAAAACAGAGTTGGAGGGGACTTTGGAGATCTTCTAGTCCAACTCCCTGCACAAGCAGGAGACCGTCTTGTCACTAATGCACACAAGCAGATTGATCCCCTAGGATAGAGTTGCCTCTTGATTTGCCCTCCATATTCCATTTCCTCTGTCACTTCCCAACTGTTTTCAGCACCTTGCCTCTGATGGGGAAAACAGAAGGAGCTTCACTGAACTAAATAAGGCAAGGTGACAGAGACATAGATGGAAGACAGTGGGAGAAGAAAGTAATAAATTTAAAAGATTTTTTCCCCCTTTCTCAATCAGAAAACAATGCAGAGCATACATTGTAATGGGTCTAAATCAGTGGTGGATTGTCCCTGGTTCAGACCGGTTCACAAGAACCGGTAGTAAAACTGGCGGGAGGCTCTGCCCACCGCCCCGGATGTCATCATAGGTGATCTGCGTATGTGCAGAAGCTTCTGAGCATGTGCCGAATCTCGGCAAGTGTGCAAGCAAAGCAAACACACAAGTGCAATCCCGTTGCGAACCGGTAGTAAAGGTAAGTAGAACCCACCCCTTATCCAAATGTGAGAGGCTGAATAATTTCGGTTCAAAATCTATTGGTCTTTCCAGACAATGGTCTGGATTCAGAATTTGTCAAAGTTGTGCCACTAAAACCAGTGAAATCTGGTTAGATTCAGTCCTGCTGGACAATGGGACAAATCTGTTTCAAGGTCTGCCCTAAACACAGCCAAGTCTGCTTTTACCCCTGAATTTAAAAAGCAAACAGGAGACTATTAAGCACCTCAGCAGTGGCTGAAACACTTAATGGAGCGTCTATAACAAGAGGCAATTCACATCCAAAGAGCTATGGATTCCGTGCAAAAAAAGACAAATAGGCAGCTTTAGTGATTGGCTTGGTAGCTTCCTAGAGACCTTTGTGTGGCATGCATGTAGGTCACAAAGGTGGAGGAGCAGGTGAACTTTGATAGGTGGATAAGGGAGGCAGGTCATCTCCTTGGGAATTCTAATGGCTTTATGACTTCATCCCCGAAGGCTGAAGGGTCAGTTACTGTCAGTTATCAGTTATCAGAGTGAAGATGCCTTCCTAGAGTTAAGTTGCTCTTCAGTGGGGCTCTTAGACTCTGGGGAAACTTCCCTCCTTTTGTGGCCAACTCTCAGAGGGGTAAGTGAGGGTCAGAGTTTGGGTGAGTTTAGGGTGGGGGTGAGGGCAAGAAGGTGAGGAAGAGGATGATGGTGAGGGTGAAAGTTGAGGGAGAGGCTGAGAGGAAGGGAGAGGTTGAGTCAGGGAAGGGATCAGGGGAAGAGGGGCAGGGAGGGGAAGGGGTATGGGGAAGGGGAGAGAGAAGAAAAAGTAAAAAGAGGAGGGGCAGGGGAGGGGGAAGGAAGGAAGGTGGGAAAGGGGAGGATGAGAGGGGCAAAAATATTTTTTAATGCCTTTCTGGAAAAGCTTTAGGCTTCCCAGAAGCTGTCCGACTCAGGCTTAAATTTACCTCCCCCATTTCAGAGGCTGTAGCATCTTCATATGGCTTGAATGGGAACGGCTGATCTCCAAACCTGGGTTAACAAAACATACTTGCTGTGCCCCACAAACCAGGCCTACATTGTGGCTTCTGGGAAGCTCCCTCTCAGCCTCACCCACCTCATACGGTTGTTGTGGTAGGGAAACTAGCAGAAGGCGGGCTTGAGCCCCAGAGCAAAGGCAGGTGCAAGCCAGCAAAAGAAGCGCCCACCAGCAAATCCTGCTGCCTTGAGTGAAGCCCCTCACTCCACTTGCTCCGCCGCGCTCCACTGCCCTCCTCACCCCCCCACCCAGCCATGTATATTATAGATAGACTCATTCCTATAAGCAGCAATTACTTGTGCTTTGGCTATGTTCCATTTCATCAAACCAAGATTTAGACCAGGGCTTGGGTAGCTGGAATATGAGGGATGACTAGGCTGTGTTTTTGAGCCAATGAATCTCTGATACAATGAATTTATTTCAAGGGCAATGTGGTTTATACATTTAGATGGTCTCAAATCAACAGTCAAGGAGCAACAAAAATTGAGATGGGATCATAGCCAGTTTATTTGCCCATATAGGTCTAAAGGTCCTGCCCATAGAGAGTTAATCATAGGGTAGCAAGAAGCAACAACTTGTACTTTTAAAAAATGACTCCCTTAAGTGGAATTAACATAATTGTTCCTAGTCGGCGAATTTGTTGGAATGTACCAAATGCCAGTATCCTGTCTTGAACAGCAGTATTGCATTCTTTGATAAAAATATATTACTATATTGTACTAAATATTATTTTAATGACTATGCACAGACAATAAGTCAAGAACACACATTGAAAAAAACTGTGAACTTTGGCTTAATTCTTAGAAAATGATAATGAGACAATGAATCACAACTTCTCTCTTACAATGTAATTCTAGAGGAAGAAAGCCAGGAAATTGGAAATGTCATGTCTTGTACTCTTTTGTCTTTTAAAAAAAAAACTTAGGGATGTTGGAGGCGAGAGGGAGAGACAGGAGAAGGGGGAGATGGAGGAAAGGAAGGAGGAGGAGGAGGGAGGAGGAGGAGTGGAAGGGGGAAAAGGAGAAGTAGGAGAAGTAGTAGTGGAAGAAGACGTAGTAGTAGTGGAAGAGGAAGAGGAAGAGGAAGAGGAAGGGAGAAGGAGGAGGCATTTCACCCACATTTTGCAACAGCTGCATTCACTGTTAATAGGCTCCTAGGCACACACCTATCACCAAAGGATATTGTAGGCAAAACAGAGGCGGCTGGAGCAATTACATAATCCGCTTAAGTTCCTGAAAGAAACCCTAAAGGTGCTTTTTCAAAAGGCAAGTGGACTTCATTTTTCCTTGAAGACGTTTCACTTCTCATCCAGGAAGCTTCTTCAGTTCTGACTGAACTGAACCGCTACTGCGGTTTCAAGGACTTGCATGGGTGCAATGAGTAGTGAACGTGCAATTGTTTCCTGTACTGCAGTTGCGTCAAACTGTCACTTCTGTTTCTGTTGCATAGCTGTTCTTTTTATATGTCAGTTAATTTTAATGTTCTGGATAGAGAGAAGTTCTATAGAACAGTAAGTCGGATCAACCAATCAGCACACAGGGTGCACACCTCCCTAGAAGGCACAGTTGAGATTTGGGAGGTGTGCACATTGACCTGTCTGAGTCACATGCAACTTCCACTTACCCATCCATCCCTGGGATGACAGCTATGGGCTGTTGTGAGCAACACTAAATCAGCCTTAACAGGAAAAAGGGAGAGACGATTTCCTGGGGTGGAGGGTGGGATATATTCCCCTGGCAGAAAATATCCTGGCAAAACTGGGACTTCTGGCCATCAAAGTGTGTTGGAAAGCAGCAAGATTTACACTGCCCACACTCTGGTCTTCAAAATCCAAGACTAATATAGACTTTTCCAGATGTCAACTAAACCAGAGGTGAAATGCTACCGGTTCGCTCCATTTCGGGTGAACCGGTAGTGATAAAAACTACCGTTTCGGGTGAATAGGTAGTAACAAAAAGCTACTGGTTTGGTTGAACCGGTAGTTTAAAAAGCTACCGGTTCGGGCGAACTGGTAGTTAAAAAAAGCTACTGGTTCCTCCGAACCGGTATTTCCGATGATCAGCTGTGCGGCTCGGTTTAGCTTTGCTGGAAAACAGAAAATCCTGCTTTCTAGCGAAGCTAAATTGTGCGGCACACCTGATCCCCCCATCGCTGTTCTACTTATTTGCCAAGCATCCTTTTGGTGCGTACTGTGCATGCACATGCAGCACATTTGTTGTGCATTGTGCATGTGCGTGCACAGCACATGCTTGCTACACAGCACGCATGTGCAGCCAGCGAACTAGTAGCAAACCGGTTCAGATTTCACTACTGCACTAAACCTAATTTGGATGAGACAAACCATACTCAACGAGTAGTCCTTAACAGTACTACATCTACATGGAGGAGGAAAGTAAGCAGTGGGGTACCACAAGGTTCCATTTTAGGCCCAGTACTCTTCAATATCGTCATGACTTATATGAAAAAAATAAAAGGAGAACTCATCAAATTTGCAGATGATACTAAGCTGGAAGGAATAGCCAACACCTCAGAAGACAAGCTCAGGATCCAAAAAGATCTTGATAGCCTTGAACAATGGGATCTATTCAACAAAATGAAATTTCATCTGGAGAAAAGCAAGATTTTACAACTGGGCAGGAAAAGCCAACAGTACAAGTACAGATTAGGCGAAACCTGGCTCAAAAACAGTAACTCTGAGAGGGCCCTTAGGGTCGTAGTGGACGATCACTTAAACATGAGTCAGCAGCGTACAGCAGCAGCCAAAAAAGCTAACACAATCCTTGGTTGTATAAACAGAGGCATAGAATCAAAATCACGTGTAGCCTTAGTAAGGCCACACCTGGAATACTGTATCCAGGTTTGGTCACCACGTTACAAAAAAGATGTTGAGACTTTGGAAAATATGCAAAGAAGAGCAACTAAGATGATTAAAGGCCTGGAGACTAAAACATATGAAGAACGGTTGAAGGATTTGGGTATGGCTAGTTTAGAGAAAAGAAGGACTGGGCAGACATGATAGCAGTATTTCAGTGTTTGAGCGGCTGCCACAAAGAGGAGGGAGTCAACTTATTCTCCAAAGCACCAGAGGGCAGGACAATAAACAATGGATGGAAACTACTCAAGGAGAGAAGCAACCTGGAATTAAGGAGAAACTTTCTGAGAGTGAGAACAATTAACCAGTGGAACAAGTTGCCTTCAGATGTTGTGGGTGCTTCATCACTGGAGGTTTTTAAGATGAGACTGGATAGGGTCTCTTGCTTGAGCCGGGGGCTGGACTAGAGGACCAAGGTCCCTTCCAGCTCTGTTCTGATTGAGATTGATTGAGACGGTCTTAATTTATAATCTGAAACTTTTGCCTGAATGAAAATCTTGAGGTCAGTTTTCTGACCGTAAGGCTATAAAAGTTGATACGGAAAAAAAAAAAAAAACATGTTGCTGATATTCTCATCCTGAGATCCCCAACATTAGTTGCTTAGGTGCACCATACAATCGGAGCTTTCATCCCAACTCCATAAAAATATTCAGTGATTCTCTTAACAAGGGTGGGTCAAGAAAGGTTGTAATATGATGCAAAATTCACTTAACAACTTTCTCACTTAGCAAGAGAAATTTTTGGGCTCAATTGTTTTTTTTTTTTAATTGAAAAAGTTTTACAATTACATTTTCTCCCCAATTTCCCCCCTCCCTCCCTAACCTCCCTAACCCTCCCTAGCCCTCCCTAACCCTCCCCTCCCCCCTGACTTCCTCAGAATATAATCCAAATCAAAATCCCCTTTTTATAAAACTTGAACCCATCCACCCCCTATATATTTTTCACATCTTCACAAAATTCTATTATTCTATCCCTATATAATACTTTCAATTAAAAGCTATCTGGTATTTCCTAGTTTGATATTTATTCTGCACATAATCTATCCACTTTTTCCACTCCCATACATAAATCTCTTGTGAGCGATCTTTTAAGTATGCTGAAATCTTCGCCATCTCTGCAAAACTGGCCATCTTCAAAGTCCATTCTTCAATAGTAGGCATAGCTTCATTTTTCCAATATTGACCTATCAATAATTTCGCTGCTGTTATCATATACAATATCAACTTTGTTTCACCCAATGTAAAACCCTTAACTATACCCAGCAAAAACAATTGTGGAGAAAACTGAATTTTTTTCTTCAAAACATTCTGCATAACCCACCAAGGCTCAATTGTGATCAAGGACTACCTGTAATGATGACACTCTCAGTCTTTGATTCCAGTCTGTTATATATGTTGATTGAACACCAACACTTGCCAAATTAGGGTCTGAGTGGTCTCAAAGGTGTTTTTTCAGAAGGCAACTGGACTATTTCCCTCCTTCTCCCTTTCTTTTCCCTTGAGGAAGAAGATGACATTTCGCTTCTCCTCCAAGAAGCTTCATCAGTTCTGGCTGGATGGTAGATGGAGAGGAGGGAGATGGAAAAATTCGTTCTGAATTGGAGATGGTAGAACAGGGGTGTCAAACTCGCAGCATCACATTGTTGTCACGTCACATATTGCAACTTTCCCCCCCTTTGCGAAACTGGGGATGGGCGTGGCCAGCATGCGACGCATCTGGTCCGCAGGCCTCAAGTTTGACATCGCTGTGGTAGAAGAATTTTATTTCTTTGCAGTCACCTGGTCGTTAGCACTCTCTCTGAGAGGCGTTGAGTCCACTTGGAGGTTTATCTATGCCCTCAGGGTCACCTGAATCAGTGTGCAAATGGGTGTGGAATCTTCTTGGAGTTGCTGAAAGGACTGTGTTGTAGATAGGTGATAGCTGATGTCTTATCTCTCACTAAATGTGACCCAGGGTCCGTAAGATGCCCAGATCTGCTCTAGTCTGAAGAATTTCTCAAGGCAACCACCCAGAGTTACTGGGAGTTAAGAGGTATATAAATTTAATTACATTATTTGTATTATGTTTTTCTCTTGAATTTATCCGAGAATTAATCATATATACGGTATATTCTTATTACCTTCTTTTTCTAGTTCATTAGGCTTGTGGTAACATTTTAACCAGTGGTGGGATTCAAGTAATTTAACAACCGGTTCTCTCCCTAGTGATTTCTTCCAACAACCAGTTTGCCAAACTGCACAGAAAGTTAACAGTCGGTTCTCCCGAAGTGGTGCGAACTGGCTGATTCCCAATACTGATTTTAACTATGTAAACAAACTGATGTTTTTACCAAGCACTCCCAAATAGTACTCAGAAAATAACTTTGTTTTTCCTCATTCTCAAGAAAGCGCCTTCCAAATTTCCCTCTTCAGATGATTTATAATAAACAGCTTGCCACTATTTTCCCAAGAACTTGCAAAACACTGCAGTAATGAAATAAGCATAGAAAACACATCAGGAAACATATCTATATTTTTAAAAGCGGAAATCATACGTAAACATTTTGTAGTACACTTTTTTTTTTTACATTTACTCTCTTTGCAAACAGGGTACCTTACAGTTCTGATCTGGGAAGTTTAAAACAAATCAAATTGGGATTTAGGAAAAGACAGCACAGAAAATAGTACGATACAGTGAAAACAGAGCTGATTTTAAAATAATAGCAAGCAAGTAGATACAGCAGCAGTTGTACATAAGGCTAAGAACTATTGAGTAGTGTACTTGAAGGCTCCATTCTAGGTCCTAAATAGATAGATGATGGATGGATCGATGGATTGATTGATGATAGATGATGGGGAGGGGGGGAGGGAGGGAGAGAGAGGAATGATGGATGGACAGACAGACAGATAACAGACCAATGATAGATAGATAGATAGATAGATAGATAAATAGATAGATAGATAGATAGATAGATGAGAGAGAGAGAGAGAGAGAGAGAGACAGACAGACAGACAGACAGATAGATAGACAGACAGACAGACAGACAAACAGGCAGACAGGCAGACAGATAGGAGATAGATAGTAGATGATAAGAGAGAGTGAGATGGGTCCAGTGGTGGGTTGCCCCCGGTTTGCACCGATTCTATAGAACCGGTAGTAAAACCAGTGGGAGGCTCCGCCCACTGACCCCAACGTCATCAGAACGCTTCTGCGCATGCACAGATGAGCATGCGAGCGAGTGAAGTGAGCACGCATGGGTGGCCCCATTGCGAACCGGTAGTAAAGGTAAGTAGAACCCACCACTGGATGGGTCATGTATAAATATGATAGATGATCATAGATAAATTAGATAGATAGATAGATAGATAGATAGATAGATAGATAGATAGATAGATAGATAGATAGATAGATAGATAAGACAGAGAGACAGTAGATAGATGGTAGATGATGAGAGAGAGATAATGGTGGTTGGTAAGAAAAAAATATGCTGATGGCACAAAGATAATAAGGATTTTCACAAGGTCGAATAAGTCAATATAAAAGTGGATTACTCAAGATCTAAGCAATATGGAGTGGCGATATTGTGTTTATCCTGCATAGGGTTAGGATTAGGGTTAGGCAGTGGTGGAATTCATTTTTTTTTACTGCCGATTCTGTAGGCATGGCTTGGTGGGTGTGGTGTGGTGTGGTTTGGTGGGTGTGGCTTGGTGGATGTGGCAGGGGAAGGATACTGCAAAATCCTCATTCCCTCCCCACTCCTGGGGGAAGGATATTGCAAAATCTCCATTCCCACCCCACTCTGGGGCCAGTCAGAGGTTCTCCGAACTACTCAAAATTTCTGCTACCTGTTCTCCAGAACCTGTCAGAACCTGCTGAATTTCACCTCTGGGTTTAGGTAACCCTAAACGTAGTAGCTAGTTTGAAGTATTAGAGAGGATTGCTAGTGTTGAAGGAAACTTGAATTCCGCCTTCTAGTCAGGAGAATGGAATTGGGAAGACATCTTCTTATCCTTCAACCCAGAAAGAAAAATTTTGGTGGTGGTTTAGATCAGTTGTCATGCTGTGGACACCATGGAAGCATCTGCTTGACTGTAGTAAAAAAACAAAACAAAACAGGATGCTAAACCTTCACATTTCCTGCATTCTGGAAATGTGAAGGTCTAGCATCCTGTTTTTTTATATATACATTTATGTTGTTCTTAAAAGTCTTTTTATCTTTTTAAATTTAAATTAATAATTTTCCCCTTTTGTAGTTCCTGCATTTTTGACACTAGACCAGACGAAACCTTCACATGGTCCAACCTTCCTTCTTTCCTTCCTACCAGCCGTTCTGTGTTTGAGTGTGGGTAGATAGATGGATGGGTCGGTGGGTGTGTGGAGGGGGAAATCTCCCAAAGGGTGAGGAAGGAGATGACGTCTTCGTCAGGCTTTTTCTTCCCATTCTCACTTCCACCAACATCTTTGTTATTTAAGAACAATACATGCAGAGAAATGAGGACAATTGAAGACTATCAGAAAATGTGTATCCCCCACACATACATATGCTCTATATAGCAACGGGCTTCAGCAATAATTCCTGAAGACTAAAGAGAGAGTTTCATTGACTTTTTTTCTTTTTTTAAATTGTGATTAATTAAGCTTGATGCCTCTTGTAAGCCTCTTTGTAAGATTTGTAGTTTGGAAAAATGGATGGTAAGAAAAATATGTTTCCTTTTCTTAAGGCAAATCTTCTCTTTAAAATTACTTTTGAGTTTATTGGAAAGAAATGGACCTCTTGGTTGCTTAATTGCAGTGGCTAAGACGCTGAGCTTGTCGATCGAAAGGTCGGCAGTTCAGCGGTTCGAATCCCTAGTGCCACGTAATGGAGTGAGCTCCCGTTACTTGTCCCAGCTTCTGCCAACCTAGCAATTTGAAAGCATGTAAAAAAATGCAAGTAGAAAAATAGGGACCACTTTGGTGGGAAGGTAACAGCGCTCTGTGTGCCTTTGGTGTTTAGTCATGCTGGCCACATGACCATGGAGACGTCTTTGGACAGCGCTGGCTCTTCGGCTTTGAAATGGAGATGAGCACCGGACCTAGAGCCGGAAACGACCAGCACGCATCTGCAGGGGAACCTTTATTTTATAGCACATAAAAGAACCGGTTTGGTGCAGTGGTTATGGGTTCATGCTAGAAGCCTGGAGACTGTGAGTTCTACTTCCACCTTAGTCCCAAACCCAGCAGGGTAATCTTAGGTTAATCGCTCTCTTTCAGGCCTATGAAGGAGGCAGGGATAAACCACTTCTGAAAAATCTTTCCAAGAAAACTAGTCCAGTCAGATTCTAGGCATCAAAATTGAGTCATAAATACACACACACACACACACACACACACACACACACACACACACACACTGGCTTCCCACACTAAGTAAATTGCAAAATAAATGAAACACTCCAATTTCCTTCAAATTCCATGTATGTCAAGGTCTGTTGGAGGATTTATTCTAGAGGAATGAAGAGCATTTCATTTTTCTACACTCTATTCACACTCGCGTTAAAAGTTCTACAGTTATGAACTCTTTTTAAGTTTTTAAGTTTTTTTCTTGGACCAATGTTTCTTAGCTTTGACAGGCTGACAAGATGTGTGGCTTGCGAAACACTGTGTTGGACAATTATTGCTTCCATTAAAGCATACAGCCTGGAATTATCTTCTCCATCCAGTTCTCTTAGGAGAATAGTTTTTGAGGAAGTGCAGGAGGAACTTACAGATCTAAGATAGTACTTTGAACTAAAGATATTACTTTGGAAAGTTTAATCCTTGTGTCATTCTTTTATCTGGTGAAATAATGTTTTTTAAAAATATAATCTAATGTAACTTTCCACAATCTTGTGTCTTTCAGATCTGAGTGGACTGCAGTTACATCCACCAAGTATTTTTTTTTACACATTTTTAAAAATCTTTTTTAATATTGTTAGCCTACCAGAATCATGTACTGAGAAAGGTGGCCATATCACCAAATATCATCGACATCAGCCATTCGATTGTGTTCAACCTTCGGCCACTCTATGAATCAGCAGTCTCAAGCCCATCTGTCTCACACCGCCTCCTTCAGATCCGCCATGATCATCCTGGCATCATTCTTTATAGTATCCAGCTAATGGGTACTACGGTGGCCCCTTCTCATTTTTCCACTGATCAATCCCAGCATGATTGACTTTTCGAGTGAGTCAGCTCACTTGACATGAAGTATGATAGCTTCTTTTTGGTGATCTTGGCTTCAAGTGACATTTTTGATGATGTTCAGTCTAGGACTTTTTTTTATTATTATTTTTGAAGTCCATGAGATGTGTAATGGTTACCTCCAGCACCACAGTTCAAAGGCATCCACCCTTCTCCTATCTGCCTTTTTCAGAGTCCATGTTTCACAGCCATAAGTAGCAGTTGCAAAAATTATTGCGTTAACTAATCTGCATTTGATCGTGAGGCTAATGCCTTTACGCTTCCAGGTGTTATTCCAGATTTTGAAGTTCTTCCAAGTGCTATACACCTTCTGATCTTAGGGCTGCAGTCACCACTTTGGTCAACTTTAGAACCAGGAAGTTGAATTCCTTTACTGTTTTGATGGTCTCATTGTCCAACTGCACTCTGACCCATGTGTTCTCTGCAATTGTTATTATCTTTCTTTTCTTGATGTTGAAGCACAGTCCAAATTTTTCACATTGATCTTTGATTCTCAAGATTAACCACCAAGATCCTCCTTGCTTTCCCTGAGCAATGTCATATCATCTGCATATCGGAGGTTGTTGATAAGCCCATCGCTAGCAGAAAGCTAATTTGGCATATTTTTATGTTTTGAGTTTCAAAACGAGGGGTGTAAATCAATTCTGCTAAATTATTTCCAAACATTGCTGCTTATTTTTATCATGAAGGGCAAAATAAAACATCTTATTTAAGGCTGTCTGAAGCCAGAAGGGAAAAAAAATTATCATTTTCAACTGGAATGGCCTCAACTAGCTTCTTTGCAAAAAAAAAAAAAAAACCCCAGAAAGAAACAAAAAAAAAAAATCACGAGAAGACAGAAAGAACAAGAAGTTACAACTTCCTGACTGATATCAGTGATGTAATTGTTTGCTTTAATTTTTTCCTTAAAAAAAGGAAATACCAGTATATGCTTTTGTAAATAAAAGTTACTTAAGCTAACTATTACGCCAGGATGAAAAAAGCTTGTATTTATATTTGTGTGTGTGTATAGGATACAAGTAAATGAGCATATAGGATTTTTTTTAAAAGTTGCATTAGTAAGAATATAATTGCTGATTAAAAGAAGTAATTATTCCTTTTTATGGCATGTTATTTTTGAGTTCTGAGTCTTATTCTAAGCAAAATACAAAGAAGTTGAAATGAATTCAGACTCATCCTTAAGCAAATATGCTTAATCTTGAAAAGAGAAGATAAGGAGGAACTTTCCCAGAATTATTTGTGTTGGCCAGTGAAATCCATTAGAGTCTTGGTTTATTTATTTATTCATTTATTTTATTTAATTTATATACCGCCCTTCTCCCAAAGGACTCAGGGTGGTGAACAGCCATAATAAAAACAATGTACAAATAGAATTTAAAAGCAGATTAAAATAATTAAATCATAGGCCGAATTTAAAACTCTCATTTTAAAACCAATTTTAAAACCCCATTAAAACCAAATTAAAATCATTTATCCCATCAGAGCAGCTTGCTGGAATAACAGGGTCTTCACTGCACGACGGAAGGCGCGGAGGTCGGGGTTCCTTCATATGTCCGGGGGTAATTCATTCCAGAGGGCAGGGGCCCCCACAGAGAACACCCACATAAAGGGAATAGAAAAGATCATGTCAACATTTTGTGGCCTTGTTTCTATCTATTCTATCTATCTATTACCCTTTGATACCAAGCCTTGGAAATTCTGAAGAGTTATCCAAGTGAACTAACAGCCCACAGTTGTAGGCTGATCCTGATAAATTGAAATGGCCAGGTGACAGGCTTTTAGAGATTTTAATGCATCTTGCTTTGCATAGAGATACCTTCACTTTGATGAAGCAGGAACATGGAGTTTGTGACGTAATTCTATTCCTTGAGTGGAAGTTGTATCAAGCTGTCTTCTCCCACTGCAATTGCCTGCCAACTGCATACCATAATTTACCAGTGACTCATTCTGTAGGCTTAGACGTTTCCTGCAGTGCACACCAGTTCTGCAGAAACATATTGCCTAGAGCAGAGATGCCTAACCTTTTTGTTGTCAAATTGAGAACTGTGGGAAATTAGGCTGAAGGATGCCAACCTTTACTTCTTTGGAAATTCATTGTACTTTTAGAATAACAAGGCTGAATGTAGTTTGCTTCTTCAGTTCTTTTTCTGGGTGACTCAGCCTGTAGGGTAATTGAGGACTGCCAGATTTTGGGATCCCTATCTTGCATTGTGTAGTCCAGCACCAATAGGCTTACTGTTGTTGTTCACCAGAGATCTTCAAACCAAAATGAGACAAATGTTATTGGCTGGATATGCTTTAAATCTGGATTTCCACCATCAAGCAGGAGGACCATAGGACTCAAGGAACCATAGAAAACCTACAGCGATATGATTTTAAGATAACATTATGGATCACTATTTGGTGGGCCTATGTGAGATGGCTATGCTTTACATCAGTGATGGCTTTTGTGTAGGAACAATACAGGTAGGATACAGATCTTCTACTCCAACCCCCTTGGGCAAGGGGTTGGACAAAAAGACCTCCAAGATCCCTTCCAACTCTATTATTCTCTATTCTGTAGGTCTCCTTATTGAGGTTAGACTATGTAGGTTATATTAATATGATTCTTTGGATCATGGCAGTTCTCAGTTCCATTATTAGTAATAGGTTTCTGAGTATGATGACTTGCCCGGCTAGATATTAGTCAAGACAAAATGAAGAAACATGTCCTTAATTTTAGAAGTAAAGAGAGGCTTGTTTTAGGAAGTACCTTCAAAGGTTTATTTTGCATGAATCTTCATTGACACGAAGTATACCTTCATTTTCACTTCACAGAAGCTAGGGGGAGGAGCTGGTACCAGGCTGTGAGGGGGGAGTCTGAGAGTGAGTACAGAGAAAAAGCAGAGAACAGCAACAAAGATGATTAGGAGACTCAAGGATAAAACATATGAAGAATGGTTGCAGGAACTGGGTATGTCTTGTTTAATGAAAAGAAAGACCAGGGGAGACATGATAGCAGTGTTCCAATATCTCAAAGAAGTGGGAGTCAAACTATTCTCCAAAGAACCTGAAGGTAGAACAGGAAGCAATGGGTGGAAACTAATCGAGGAGAGAAGCAACTTAGAACTAAGGAGAAATTTCCTGACAGAACAATTAATAAGTGGAACAACTTGCCTGCAAAAGTTGTGAATGCTCCAACATTGGAAATTTTAAAGAAGATGTTGGATAACCATTTGTCTGAAGTGGTGTAGGGTTTCCTGCCTGGGCAGGGGATTGGACTAGAAGACCTCCAAGATCCTTTCCAACTCAGTTATTCTATTCTATTCTAACCTTTGTACAGCTGAACATTTCAACAACTCTTGAGCCTAATTTAGAAATGTAGAGTGACTACATTTTTATAGAGTTCTGCTTGATTGGGCAAATAGCTTATCTAGACCAGAATTCAGTGTCCCACCTTCAAGAAGCTCAGACGTGGCCTTCTAAAATTGGTGCTCCTTACAATTAGCACTTAAAATATGCTACTTGTGATTCCAAAGATAGAAAAGAGATACTAATCTTCCATGACGTTTTCTCTTCTCTCTTTTAAACTGTTTAGACAGTGGCCATCTGGCCACTTCTACAATCACTACAAACAGTAAGCTCTTCACTCTTCGGTTTTAAATCTGCTCACATTTGACTTTCCCAGAAGACACAAGTTCTAAAATTCTCCAGTTATAATTTTCCACATTATTTATGATTATGTATACTTTTTAATCATGTTTTCCCCTACCTGTGTTCATGCTAAATTAAACAAAACTTTAATTGGTGTGCCCCAGTGGTGGGTTTAAAAATTTTTTTACTACTGGTTTTGTGGGTGTGGCTTGGTGGGTGTGGCATGGCTTGGTGGGCATGGCTTGGTGGGTGTGGCAGGGGAAGGATACTGTAAAATCTCCATTCCCACCCCACTCCAGGGGAAGGATACTGTAAAATCTCCATTCCCACCCCACTCCAGGGGAAGGATACTGCAAAATCTCCATTCCCTCTCCACTCCAGGGGAAGGATACTGTAAAATCTCCATTGCGGGCAGGCGAGGAGTGGCTGGGAGGGGAGGGGCAAGTCGAGGCCGGTGAGGCATCCCTTGATGTGAGTGACATTGAGTTGGCCATGTCCACATGGCCAGTCACATGACCACCTAGCCACGCCCACCCAGTTGGTCATTAGGCAGATCATATTAGTGGTCCGCGGGATTTAAAATTATGAATTTAGTGGTCTTTGAGGTCCAAAAGGTTGGTGACCGCTGTCCTACACCATCTAGCAACAGAACTCACCACATGGTACCTGGGGAGATTGCATCATCCAGCAAGGCTCAGCCAAGCTTGGGACTCAGGACAGCCTACAGAGTTGCCCCTGCCTGCAGAGATGAGATTCATTTACCTTCCCTACCTGTTTGCAAATGTGAGATTGTGCACACGCAGCATGTTTGCACATGCACACAGGTTCTGTGCATACGCAGTGCTCGCGCATTAGATCTGGGCAGGTGGGCGGACCCTCCCGCAGTCGCCGCTACCAGTTCACTCGAACCAGAGACAACTGGCTGAATCCCACCACTGCCTGCATGGCCCCATGGGAGTCTGACAACCAATCAGAATACAAGCTCAAATTCAAAGCCCAACAGAGGACATAAAACCAAGGCACTCTCAGCATCTCTGCCATTTTTTCTGTTCAGGAACTCAAGCCATGTGATCCTGTTCATCAATAAACTTTGTTTCCAAGCAACTTTAATGAATCCAGTGTCTTTTTCCCCACTTGGAACTGAACCCAGAAGGATATTTCTTCCAACAGTAGGAAGGCTATAATTGTACTTTGTTGAGTTTGGCTAAATCATGCAAGGCTGCTTGTATTTTATCTTCCCTTCTCTTATACCCTATTTTCCAGAGAACTAGGTCTGTTTAATGAGACTGAAATAGGATTATTTGGCTCTGGTCATTTGTGCCTGAAGTGAGAACTATGGATTGATTTATTCAATAATCCATTTGTTTGTTTTCTTGACTGCCCATGGTATTTTCAGGAGTCTTCAACATCAAAATTCAAAGCCATCAATACTCTTCTTATCCTGCTTCTTCAAAGTCCAACTTTTGTTTCCACAAGTTTCACAGGGAATACCACGGTTTCCATAATTCTGATCGTTGAAAGTCTTGTCTCATCTTGTGTCAAAAATGTAGAAACTAGAAAGGAGAAAAGAATAATTTAAATTTTTAAAAAGTTAAATATTTAATATAAAATAAATTTATATAGCCCCAATGCTAAGCCACATTGATAGGCAAGTATATTTCCAATGAGCAAGTCATTCTGTTTGCATGTCGGTCCCAGAGGCCACTGTAAAAAATGAATAGTTTTTGAATAATGCCACCTTTGCAGTAAATATCTTTGCCGTCTGGGAAAAACCCCCATTTATCCATGTGGTCTTTAATCCTAGCCAAACAAGCATGCAGCCTATTTAAATATTTTCCAAACTGTCCACTCCTCCTCTGAATCTTCAGGCAACTCCTCAGGAGATTCTATCCAATTATGAAGATGTTTTAACTGGAAGTTTCCATCTTTTTAATCATCCTGTTTGAGGTGTAGAAACAATGTTCTTGCAGCAATCTTAAAAGCTCCTGCTTGATTTCAATCTTTTCGTAGGGGCTACTTGGCCAAATAATGGGTGTGCCGGATTATGAAGCACCTTTCCATATTCTAAGTCTTGTGCCATACTCCTTCTAACACCTGATGGGACTATTCCCACCATGAAATATAGTTTGTCAAATAGGATGGAGTGCAAACATCCAATACAGATGCAGCATGTATCACTACATACCCTATCCACCTGCGTAGAGTGTACACACTGCTCTCCAATGGAATAAATGTACTGTCTGGCCGAGTAACACAATGCAAGGGCAGCCATTCAAAGAGTAATGGTGTAAGCACCCCAAATTGTTACAGCCAGCTGTCTGAGGAAATTATTACAGGTGGAGAGCTTTTGTTTTAAATTGCAACATGATGTCTTTTAAAGGTTAATATTTGGTCCAGGGTAACCCCAAGGTGACATGGCATCTCACAATGCATCAGACTCGCTCCATCCGAGATAATGTCGAGCCTAC